TTGATGATGTCAAATCCCCCCATTACTTCTCCTTTCTCATTCAGGATCACTTTCTCTCCAGCTGAATTGTTAAAAGAAATGCCATGTAGAAATGGATGGAGCTAAGAGAAAGAGAATGAGAAAGAGAGAGTTGGAAAGATAATACAGATAGTCCTCTATTTACAACAGTTCCTTTAATGACCGTTACGTTGGCATTGAAAAAAGTGACTTATGACTGTTCCTTTTACATTTAGGACCCTCACCACCTTCTGACAAGCAAAGTCAATGGGGAAGCCAAATTCACTTAACAACTGTATTACTTAACAATAGTTTGTAGTTTCTTGATGTTCACATCTAACTTTTTCTTGTCATGTACATGTAATGCATCTGAACTAGACTGTGTTGTTTCTCTGTGTCATAGACTATATGTGGATATGTGGGCGTATGCAATTCTTTTGGTCATATTTATGAAGTGTATGTTGGAGGTGGTGACCCTTTGAGAGCTATATGCAATGAAATTTCATCTAATGTATGCCGATTAGTGTACATTTAAAGTGACAATATTCTATTATTCTATTCTATTCTATTCTATTCTATTCTATTCTATTCTATTCTATTCTATTCCATTCCATCCCATCCCATCCCATCCCATCCCATCCCATCCCATCCCATTATTCTATCCCTTTCCCTTTCCGCTATTCTGTTCCATTCCATTCCATTCCACTCCACTCCTCCACTCCTCTACTCTACTCTACTCCATCCCATCCCATCCTATCCTATCCTGTCCCATCCCATCCCATTATTCTATCCCTTTCTGTATCTCCTATTCTGTTCCATTATTGTATTGTATTGTATTGTATTGTATTGTATTATATTATTATATTATATTATTATATTATATTATTTTCATCCCATCCCATCCCATCCCATCCCTTTATTCTATCCCTTTCCCTATCCCCTATTCTGTTCCATTCCACTCCACTCCACTCCATCCCATTCCATTCCATTTTTCTATCCCTTTCCCTATCCCCTATTCTGTTCCATTATATTATATTATATTATATTATATTATATTATATTATATTATATTATATTATATTATATTATATTATATTATATTATATTATATTATATTATATTGTATTGTATTGTATTGTATTGTATTGTATTGTATTGTATTGTATTGTATTGTATTGTATTGTATTGTATTGTATTGTATTGTATTGTATTAATTATATTATATTATATAACTTTCATCCCATCCCATCCCATTATTCTATCCCTTTCCCTATCCCCTATTCCGTTCCACTTCACTCCACTCCACTCCACTCCTATTCTATTCTATTCTATTCTATTCTATTCTATTCTATTCTATTCTATTCTATTCTTCATTCCATATCTATTCTATTCTATTCTATTCTATTCTATTCTATTCTATTCTATTCTATTCTATTCTATTTAACTGGATTCTATAAGTAGAAAATATTAAGACTTTCTGCCATAGGTTCAAATGATAATTCTAGATCAAACTGCTCATTGAAATAAAAAAAGTGTCCAATGCAGAGAGAATACCTGCCAAGCCTGCAGATATAGAAGGTCAGGTTTTTTACCCATTATTGTTTTTTTCTTATTGAACCCTGACATGAATAGAGCCTGCAAAGCATGAGCCACAGCATAAACAGCATTGTAGACAGTGTAGCTTTGTCCAGTCATTTCCATTTCAAACACAGGCCCAGGAAGATCCTCCAGTTTTATCTCCCCCGGGCACTGCCTACTGGACATTTCTTGTAACTCTGATTTTGAGAATGAACAATCAAGTAATTGTTCCCAAACGTCCTGCAGAAAACCATCTCTGTAGCCTGAATGAGGTTTTATGGTCTGAAGAAACTCCTTGAAACCTACAACTGCTCTTGAATGAACAGTGAAGGAAAGAGCCCCATGAAACATTTGGAGATCCCACGTGACTTGAAAGCTTGAGAGCACAAAATCAATCTGTGCAGTCATGATCCACACCTTTCTAAACGATGCAGTTTCAATGCTTTCAGGATCTGTTACAAACATGATAGCTCTGAGCCACATAATTGTCCCTGATTCTCCATAGACAAGAAATGTAGTGGTGTTGCCATTCCTCAAATTAGTGAAAATACATAAGATGATGGGGTAAAGTTTTGTATATTGTTCTATGTGGATTAGTTGTGGCAGCCTTTGTACAAATGATGAACAGATTCTATTTTGTGAAAGTATGGGCTGTATTTTTTGTAAGAAACGTTCTCCATTGTTGTTATCCATAGCAAAAATCCCAATCCATGTCCACCTAAAGTGATGAAGCAGTTGAATAATCCCAATGTATTGATGGTCCTCTTTTGGGATCATGAAATAAAGTGAAGATCGCTTACTGGTCTGCAATTCCTCTTGGGCTAATGAGCCATATGTCAGCTAAAAGAAAGCAGAGTGATATTCTGTTGAGTTGTTAGCTCAAATCTGATCTTTCTGGATCTAGTTTTCCTGTAAAAAATATCCAAGGAAGAATTTTTCCTCTATTTTTTTGGAAATATTAATATAGTATGCAATTTCTAGGAATTATTTCAAACACATTATAATAGTTCAATTGTCTGAACAGGACCAATGAATACTACATTCAAATCTTTCCTTAGTTATGGCATGTCCCTAAATACTCACTTCTGTGATTGGCATTGTAATTTCAGAAAACAGTGCTAAGTATTATATCTTAAGGGTTACAGAATGTCTTAATACAAATCTAAGCC